GGCGGGTGGTGCTGAAGGTGACGGCGTTTGACGGCACCCGCCAGGTCAGCAGCGGCGAGAGCAAGGTGGTGCGGCTGGTGAGGACGCCGGCAGGGGCAGCGGCGTGCTACGACGATGTCAAGCCGGGGAGGGTGGAGATCACAAAGGTTGTCAGGCCGGCGCTGACCGGGCCCAAGCTGCTGGTGAGCGGAGCGCGTCCGCGGGCGCCGCATCGCGCGCGAGCGCAGGCCGACTCGGTTACAGGCCGCCTCGTTTGCAGGCCGCGCGGTCGATTGAGTGGCGGAGCGGTGGTCGTGTGCATGACGGCCCTCCTCATCATGCATGGCCCCCTCGCAGGTGCCGCAAGACGTCGCAGTGACGTGGCGCAGCTACTGGGACCGCCCCTGCGACCGCGGCTGCGAGGATGCGTACAAGTGAGGCCTGTTCTCGCAGCCAGCCATTTGGCTGCCTGCCTATCTGGATTTGTCGGTGCTCCAAGGGGTGAATTCGCCTCTATTGCTTTTTGCAATTCGAAGATAAATGAGTCAGGCGAGTCAGCCCGCCTCTTCAAAGCATCCGGCGAGGCCGCAAGCGCTGCCAAACATCGGCCGCGCCGCCCGCGCCCCGCCCCCCTTGCGCAGCGTCACGCTGGTGTCCGCTGCGGGCAAGGTGCTCAACTCCACAATTGTGCGCCCCGACGACCCCTCCAACGCCACCGCCACGCACACCGCGGTCTTTTCGGGCCTCGTCGGCGGCGAGCGGTTCCACCTGAGGGTGGCGGCGCAGAACGGCAAGTTGGAGGGGCCCAGCTCGGCAACGGACAACATCCGTGTGCCGTTCATCACGAGCGCGTCTTCAAACAGGGAGCTCATCCTCGCCGAACTCAGGCGCGACTGCCGCGGGGTCCCGGTCTTCGCGTACGCGTTCAGGGATAGGGCAGACATGGTAAAGATCACGTGGCGGAGGAGCGGCGTAGAGAGCGATTTCGCGGGCAAGGACCCGCTGACGTGCTCTATGCCGCTGGTCACAGCCCCCCCAAGCAACAGCAGCGGCGACAGCGACACAAGCAGCTGATCTGGAATCTGCACCGTCGTGCTGTGCAGACCAATTTTCCTCCCAGGACAAGCATGTGTTGCTTTTGGCCTTTTGTGGGTTGTCAGAGGCTTGCGCAAGAAGAACGCGACACCAATCGGGGCATGTTTGACCTGGGTTTGACTCTATTGGATGAATATGATCCCGGCAGCACAGTTGACCCAAAACCCGTTGGCGTCGTCGCCGCCGCTGCCGTCGACACCGTCACGCCAGCAGTGGCAATCCCCCACGCGGCGATGCGCCTTCGTTTGTGCGGCACAAGAAACAGCATTTGATCGCGGCGTTGCCGCAACCGCTCGGTTCGACGGGCCCACTGTGACGTGGGCGCGCCTCGGTTTCCGCAGCACCTGTCAAGGGCGGCGTATGGATTGGGACATCGCCCAACCTTGACTGGGTTTGACCGCGCCTTTCTGTTGCGATCCGTGCACACGCATACGCACTCGCACACAAAACACACACAAATTACGTACCGTGCGCATGCGGCGTGGTTTGACTCATTCAATGGGCTAACCTCCTATCCAGTGATGCACCATTGCATCACTGTGCCTGGTTGTGACAACCTAACACCTGCATTCCTGGTCGCACTTGCCTGCCAAAAGCCTAAATGCACAGCCCTGCACGAGAGTATATGCAGTTGCACCGCACAAAAATAACAACCCGTCTCTGTAACAAGACCGACGGTCTGGACTGACCATCGACGCGTATAGCTGGACAGCGCAGATGCATGGGGACCCCATCGCCCACCCTCGTGCTCTCCCGCTGGACCCCTGGCCCAAAAACCACCTTGGCCACGCCGACTGGGACCCGCTAGCCCGAGCGGACGGCTGTTACATGCTCACACATAGTCAACCATCGGCGCCCTGGTGCTGCTGCTGCTGCTGCTGCTGTGCTGCCAGGTCCGCATAGCGCTGCCTCTCCTCCTGCCCCAGCCCCCGCCACTCCGCCGCCGCAGCCGCAAGCACGCCGCCGCCCTTGCCGGCCCCTCCGCCGGCGGCCGCGGCCGCGGCCGCGGCCAAGCCCGCTGAGATCCGCTCCTTGTTGGTGCGGATGAAAAGCTGGTACGCGTTTAGGGGCCGCCCGCTGCCGCTGCCGCTGCCGCTGCTGCTGCCGCTGCCGCTGCTGCTGCTGCTGCTGCGGCGGTGGCTTTTCGAAGCCCCTCCGGCACCCCCGCCCTTCCCGCCAGCCGCCTTGCGCGCCGCCGCCGCCGCCGGCTTGGCTGCGGCCGCGCGCTTGCGCAACGCGGCGGGCGCGCGCCGCTGCTGCGCGCCGCCCGCGCGCCTCGCGTCTTCCGCCCACCGCTGCTTCTCTTCCTCGCTGAGCGCGCGCCACGCGGCGGCCACGATCGCGACCGCGTGCTTGGTCTCGGCCGCCGGGTCCTGCGCCATGAGCCGCTGCTTGTTGGCTTTGCAGAACAGCTGGGTTGCGTGATTACGGTTTGTGGCCAGGGGCGGGGGAGGGGAGGGGGTGTTGAAAAGCAGGGGGGTTTTGTTGTGTTGGGCACTACGGATGGCGTGCTGCGGCGAAAATCTGGACTTTGGAATGAGTAAGGTGTTTGAAGGTCCGAAGGAGGAGGGGGGGGGAGGTCACAAGGGAAGAGAGCGGCGCAGCGCGCCTGTGCGCGCCAGGGCCGAGGCTATGCCAAAGCCACGCCAAACACCAAGTAAAAAAGTCAAAGGCACGCTCCCTCGCATCAGAGTCGCTGTGCACGCCTTGCATCATGGGGCAGGCCCTCAAGAGCCCCCAGGCGCACCCACCTGGTAGCCGTTGGGAGCCCTGCCGCCGCCCGCCGCGCCCGGCCCTGGCGCCCCGGCGGCCGCCGCCTTGGCCTTGCCGCCGCCTTTTTCGGCCTTGGCCCCTTTGGATCCCTTCTTCGCGGGCCGCGCGGCGTAGGGGTCGCGCCCCTGCTTCCTGAGCTTGGCTGCTTTGGCGGCAAGAATGTTCACGGCATCCGCAAGCATGAGGGCTGAAGGGTCCACGCCCTGTCAGCGCAGCCGCGCGCGCACGTGTGTGTGTGTGTGTTTGTTGTGTTGTGTGTGTGTGTTTTGTGTGTGTGTGTGTGTGTTTTGTGTGTTTTGTGTGTGTGTGTGTGTGTGTGTGTGTGTGTGTGTGTGTG